CCAGTCAAGTGTGTCCTCACTAAGCTTTCAGGAAAGTCCCACCCAACAACATCCACTTACATTATTGTAAGACCTGACTCTAGGCTCTAAGGAAGTCTAAGAAAGTGAGATGGACATATTCCTCTCTCAAACACAACTGGGGTTCTTCTAGTTGGAAAGAACAGAATAAATGTTGAATAGCCAATCAACAATGTCTACCCAATATTAAATTAGATAGTTTATATAAAGTATTAAGCACAGTAACCTCCCACATAGTTAACTGTTTAATAAGAATTAAACTATAGCCCGGCCAGTGTAGCTCAGTGGTTGAGCGCCATCCCATGCACCAAGAGGTCACTGATTTGATTCCTAATCAGGGTACATGCCCAGGTTGTGGGCCCAATCCCCAGCGGGGGGGCATGCAGGAGGCAGCCAATCAATGTTCTCTCTCATTGATGTTTCCATCTCTCCCTCCTTCTCCCTTCCTTTCTCACTAAAAAATTAATAAAGAAAAAAAATGTTTTTAAGAATTAAACTTTAATTATTGTTGTTATTATCATTACTGTTGTTATTATTCACCTAGCTTATCCTCTGGCCAAATGGTATAACTTATTATATCCAGATGTGTTCCTTACATGTCTACTATATCCACTGCTCTATCTATATAACCAACATTATCCCAGCTTCAAGGTCCATGAAAATGCCATTTAACCCAAGAAGTCTTTCCTGACACCTACTCCTAATAAGAGGTCCTATGATGGCAGGACCCACATCAGATAAAAACTCCTATGTTCATCATTCCACCAAGCATAGTCCCTTGGAACACAGTAGGTTCTAATAAATAGTGCCTTGATAATTAAAGTAATTGTTATACATACTTATTTCTGTTTTTACAGCCAGTCCTCTATAATCAAACATGGCATACTTCTGAAATGCAAAAGTTAAACACTAGGTTCATATGTCATAAAGGTAGGGGTGGGACTGAGAGGCTAAAGACTGCATTCCCCAAGAGTGAGAAGAAAAAAAATGATAAAATAACATCATACTTTTAGCCCACTGTGGGAGTCCAGGTTATAGTTCATCAAATATTACCTCTCTACTGTGGGCAGAATCTACTTATACCCATGGATATTGGGGCTTCCCCATGTGACTTGCTATGCTCAAAAAGGTTGTTAATGGAAATGACATTTGCTTGTGCAGTTTGGCTTGCCTCTTGAATCCAGTGATCTGTTATGAGAACATTCCCCAAGTAGCTGCTCTCCCTTCATCCTCAGCCCCAGAACGCATGTGGAGCAGACCGGAGCCCAGCCTGCAGCCTACAGCAGAGCCACACCAAGGAGTCCAGCCCTAATCAGCCAAATCACATTCAACCTAAAGACTCCTGAGTGTAAGAATAAATATACCTGTTGCTGTAAGCCAGGGAGTTTTGTTATGCCCCAAAAGTTGACTAATATACCCTTTACCATTTAATATATTTTAGTACTTCTTACTTATTCATTCATTTTGTTCTTTTTCTTCATATAAGAAGGAACAGGCTGAAGAATCTCTGCCTTTGATATACCTAGTGATTTCTATCTTTGGATTGGACTGTTTTAAATTTATGAGACCTACATTATCATTAATATCAGTGTTTTTTTGCTTTCCATTTGTTCTACTAACTTTCAAAAATAAAGAAAACCACAATAAAGTATCAAGGAATAATATAAACATTGCTAAAACTAAACCGTTGGCTGGCAAGTAGGTCTCTCCTATGGACAGCCAAAATGTTCTTAGCTGATGAAAGGGGTTAAAGGATGCCCTAGAAAAACAAACAAACAACAGATTGTACAAAGTCATTCTCACCAAAGTCAAAGACTATCTGATGAGGACTTCAACACCATTCATCTAAACACATTTTTCAGGATACCTGTTTTGGCAAACCATAATCACTGGAATTCACCAGTAGGAAGACACTGATAAGGCTTAAGTCTTGTGACTTTTCCAACACAGTAAAACAAGATTGCCTATTATTTTAATAAAATAATTTTAAATACAATTATTTTAATAAAATAATTTTAAATACAGTTATTTTTAATCACTAATGAAAAACAGTCTCTTTGTAAGTGAAAGAGAAAATAAAATTCCAATCTCTTGAGGAGAAGGCAGGAAAGAGCCAGTTGAATGATGTTAAGAGCATGTATTGGGCCCAGCCGGTGTGGTTCAGTGACTGAGCATCGACCCATCCACTGGGAGGTCACCGGTTCAATTGCTGGTCAGGGCACATGCCCAGGTTGTGGGCCCAAATCCTCATTAGGGGGCTTGCATGAGGCGGCCAGTCGATGTTCTCTCCTATCGATGTTTCTATCTCTCTCCCCCTCTCCCTTCCTCTCTCTCCAAAATCAATAAAGAAAAAAAAATTTTTTTTTTTTAAAGAGCATGTATTCGACCAAGACCTATTAAAAATTCCAAATGAAAATTTAAGGTTTCAAGAAATATGGAAGAGTGTGGATTTTGTTCTGGTTTACCTTCTTTAAAGTCATCATTAACTTGGAAACCAAATTTCCATTGGGCCAAAACAGACCTACTAGAAATATATAAATCACAAAGTTATTAAGTTTGCCCATTAGTGGAAGCAACAGCCTTCAAAGTAGCAAGGCAAAGAGGACAGTGGACTCTTAACAGAATAAGCCATATGTATGTTGAGAGAGCTCACACTTCAGACTAGACACATGCAGATTACACGACCAAAATTTGAATTCAATGCCATGGCCAAGGTCATAGGCTCTGGATCAGAGAAACCTGGGCTCAAGTTCTCACTCTCACCCTAAACTATAGCAAGATACTTAATTCCTTTAGTTTCTTCTATCTATCATTTGGAGATAATAATATTACCTGCCCCATAAAGACTCTGACAGATTTTAAAAAGATAACGCATGTAAAGTACTCAGCAAAGTGCTAGCACATGCAATAATAATACTAATGAAAATAGTAATAGGAATAATACATGAAGAGTGTCCTAATCAGTGTACTCTGGCTATATCTGTTCATGCAATGCTGAATGAACAGTTTTGTATTCACATCCAGGTACAGCTTCTATGAGGTGATAGCTCTCTGGATCAACCAGTCATTTTTCTACTGAATTCAGGAAGAAGAATGTTGCAAAATAAGCTTTGCACTAATAGAAAATTGAGAAGGATCTGATCCTTCTGCCCACAATCCATCCACCCATGAAAGTCTTGCTGGTGAAAGTCATGTTTCCATCACTATCCACACACCACCTCTCCAAACTGTGCAAGGCTTTTATTAAAGCACAGAAGCAGACCTACAAGATGGCTCACCTTGGAAGCAAACTCACCTCAAAGGCAAACTCTTCTACCCTTCAGAAAGGATCTGGCTCGACCCTACTGTCACCTCCAAACTGACACCCAAACTGGAAGTGAAGAAGGCATCCCTCACTTCCAGAAGTTGAGTTACACTGTCAAAAACTAAAAGAATCCCTTCTATTCGTGGTAATCCTAATAGAGCATGCTTGTCTGCTACAAAAACATCTTATAAATTCATCCAACAGAGCCAAGAGCCAAACACCGCATGCTGAGAAACAATATGACTTTACAAGGACAAGAGAGACCATAGGAGACAAAGTGCCACACCCTTTTCTAGAGAGCTCAGCACTATCTCTTAGAAAGGAGCCCGCAATTCTAGAGAGATAGGTGGAAAATGCTAAACCCCAACACCCTTCCCCTGCCCCCATTTCATTCTTTACACAGATCCATTTCATTTTCATTTTTAAATCAATGGCCTGAGCATCCCAACTACTACAACTAATAGGGGGATGGGGTGGGGAGGGGTAGAAGAGACAAACACAAGTCAAATATACTTGCTTCTAAGCCCATTTTGGAAGAGTTTTCTTCCCGCTTGTCTGCCTCTCACAGCTGGAGCCTCATACCTGCTGGAAACCAATGGTTAAGTAAAACCACTGATTTTAAAAAGCCAACCAGGAAACTAACCATGACAAGTGGGAACTGCCCTCCTCTCCCGAGCATTGATTGGCTCTTGGGGTTCCACCGGTCCCTGTTCTGCCCATATAAATGGCAGGTGTGGCTGTCAATCACTCAGGGAACTGACAATTCACCGCTCCGGGAGTAAATTGCCTTTCATCTAGCAAAGGCAGGTAGCCGCCTAAAATCGATCCGCTCTTACAGAACGGACCCTCCCTCTCTGGCAAGGAGAACAGAGACCCTTAAGTACAAAATAAATAAGGCAGGGCCGATCAGAGTTTACGAGTGCTATTATATTATCCCGCACCAAAGCAGCCCTTAATCTTCACTGTCCTAAAATGATCTTTCAAAGGCTTGGACAGTAATTTTTTTAAAAGGCACAACCCTCCAAGTACCCCTTTTCTTGTATAATTCGGAGAAGAGGGAGTGGAGATCGTTCATCTTAATTTCACATCGTATTCGTTTTCATACACCACCACCCCCTAGCCTTCCCCAATTAATCCAGCTTCATTTTCCCTGACACGGATTTTTTTTAAAACACGCTCCCCTTAGAGTCCATCGAGGCAGCCTGGGACCCCACCCCCCTGGGCTCCACCTTTCTCGACTTTGTTCGGCTTTGGGTTTCCCAAGACCCTTGCCCCCGCGAACACCCCAGCCCTCGAAGCAAGAGGGGGAAAGCCAGGCGAAAGAGTGGGAGCTGGAGAGAAGAAAGGCGATGGCAATGAGGGTGGCTGCCGGAGAGGGACTGCGGGAGGTGGCCCGGGCTGCCGGGACGAGCGAACGGCGCCCGCGCGCCGGAGGAAGCCCTGCACTTGTTCCAATCCGGGGGTTTCCACATTAAGGCAAATCCGCCTTTAGGCCGCCCCATCCTTTCCCCCGCCCCAGAAAGCCCCGGTGGAGGCGGATGGTTCACCCCTCGGCTCCCCCCGATAACGCATTGCAGCTCCCCACGAGTGAGGGGCACCCGGCACGAGAGATGCTGGGGCACGGGCGCCCCGAGGGAGCCAGGCACCCAGCGGCCCGGCCCCGGCGTCGACGTCTCACCTTTCTGATGCTCGCCCCGGGGCCGTCCCACATGGATTTTTACAACCTCACGTCGCCTTGGCCCCGGGCGGCCGGGAGGAGCCGGAGCCGGCGCCGGAGCGCAAACGAACAGGAGCGGGAGGAGGAGGAGGAGGAGCCCGGCTGGGAGGGAGGGAGGGAAGAAAGGAGGGCGCCGCTCGGAGGGCTGGAGCCGGCGCGGGGCCGGGCGGGGCTGACGGCCGAGGGGGCGGCACCCACCGCAGTCCCGAGACGCGCGCTCGCGCGGCGCTACCCAGCGGCGCTCCTCCGGCCACCCGCCCGGCCGCTGGGCGCGCTCGCCTGCTCGCCGCGGCCCTGACTCACATTCCCAGCATTCCCGAGGAGCCGCTGGGGGGGCCGGGGCCGGGACGCGGACGCCTCCGCGGGGGGCAGCAGAGAGCGCCGGCCCGGGCGTGGTGTGCACGGCGGGGGTCTTCCGAGCGCCTTCGCCCCGGAGGCCGCCGTCCCGAAGCACCTGGTGGTTCCCGTCTTCTGTCCCTGACGTCCCTTCCCCGGCACCCGACTCCAAAAGCTGCCAGGCACTCCCGGAATAGTCAGGTGGCTTCGGCAGCAGAGGCAGGGATGGCACTTGGTGGAGGGGATGCAACTATCTTTCAGTTTATTCTTTTGAGTTGAGGTCGAGGTTTCCATACCCTGGCACCCTCCCCTTAGCTTAATCTTCTTTGGGAGGGTGAAGGGATGTCAAAAGACTTTTACTTGCTTGTTGCTGCAAGGAAAGGAGAGAATGAAAGATGAAGGAAGGGAGAAGAAAAAAAAATTACCACCGTTGCCATCATTCACTGAGTGCTTCCTCTGTGCCCTGCAATGTGTGTGTCCTCCCGTTTAAGGCAGAAACATGGTGTCTGAGTTCATTCACACACGTACATAGCCTCAAAGTGAGGTGCAGGAGGAGTTGGACATGAGTTGGGCACGTTTTACCTTGAAAAATGCTTCCACCCAAGAAGTCTGGAGCCCCAGTTGCTACCATTTTATATTAGCCATTGGATTCGAAATGTTATAGGTATCTCCAGATTTAGTCTCTCTCACTGAGAGTCCATTTGCAGGACTACAGCAGTAATTCCTTCCATTCCTGTTGAGTCTGCTTCCAGCAATTTCAGTGACAAGATCGAAATACTCCTGCTGGGAAACCCAGACAAATGAAGCAAATTTAGCCACGGGATGTCTGGCTGAGCAGAGGTATGGAATCAGCACAGTGACGAGGGATGACTCCTCTTTCCTCCCCTCTGATGGGAATTCAAATATTAAATGAAGTAAGTGGGTGCTGAAGGAGGAGGATGCCTTCCTGTTCTAGCGCAAATGCCCTGTTCCTTAAATCTTCCTTTTACATTTCTGGTATTTAAGGTTTTTCACAGATTCATGGTCCCAGAGGTCTCTGCCCCGACCCTCTTCTTCAGTCACCAAGAATTTGGCACTCATTATGTTGACCTGGATGGTCCCTGGGCAAAATCAGGCTACACTGATTGTATTTAGTTTCCTATGTACATCCTTCACAGCCTCTGCTGAAAAGACTTATCATACATTAAAGCCTTGTCAAGAGTCCTTTGAGAATTCCTAAAATCTCTTATATTTTGAAATGTGACCAGTGTTTATTGAGTACCTCCTATGTGCAACACTTACATTTTCTCAACCACTCTCACAAAAACTCTATAAAATGTTTACTATCTTTCCGAAAAGTCAGGTAACATACCCAGCTGAAAATGTATTTAAATCTATGCCTAAGGTCCACTATTCTTGGCCATCCATTCTCTTAACCTTTGATCCATAGATTCTAAACAGGAATCCTTGTACTTCACGGTGACAATTTCTTGTTTATATGCCTATGTACACTTCCCCCAGAGAGAAGATCGATGGTTCTCAAAAGATTTCTTTCACATTGAGTTCTTGAAAAGGTTAAGAATAATCACTTTATTTTATTTTATTTATTTATTTATTTTTATCCTCACCCGAGGACATTTTTCCATTTTTTTGTACAGATAGAGTGGGAGGGAGAGAGAGGAAGAGAGAGAGAGCGAAACATCGATGTGAAAGGGACACATCGAGTGGCTGCCACCCGCACGACCAACCAGGGCCGGGGACAAACTGCAACCGAGGTACGTGCCCTCAGCGGGAACTGAACCCGGGTCTCTCCGGACCGCAGGCGGACGCTCTAACCACTGAGCCAAACCGGCCAGGGCAAGAATAATCACTTTAAATAGAAAGCAACTTTATGTAGTAGAACAAGAATTAGAAATTTTAGTGATGTTAAGTCATCTTTACCCTCTCTAGGACTTAGTTTTCTCATCTGAAAAATTAAAAAGCTGAACTAAAGAATCTTAAGATCTCTTTGAGAGCCAACATTCTCGTGTGTGTGTGTGTGTGTGTGTGTGTGTGTGTGTACACATACAGAGCTCAAAATGTTTACAACTAGCCACTGCAGGATCTCACTCCTGAGGACAGAAAATTATAAAACATGTTATATTTTATAAACCTGTGATATGGCTTCAGGTTTTTGTTGGTTTTTGTTTTGCTTTGTTTTACTTTGTTTTTGACATCTTTCTCCAGCGTGGCATTCCCTTCTCCAGCAAGTCAGAGGAAGCACACTTTTATGGCAGATATTTTTTCTCACATATTTATTCATTCATCTACTCAAAAAAAATACTTACTGAGCATCTACTCTGTGCTAGTACTATGGGTTCAGAGCCCTTGCCCTCTGGGCTGTACAGTAGAGTAAGGGAGAGAAACAAGAAAACAGGCCATTACAATACCTCTTATAAAGGGACAAAGCTCTGGGAACTGTTAGGAGCATGCAGGAAGGACAGCCAACCTTTTCTCTGAGGTTCAGAAAATGCTTCCCAAGGAAATGTCATCAAATTTGCTTGCCACATCCATCTTTCCTGCCCTACCCTCTGTTCAGCCCAGAGCAGTAAGCGGCCGGCATGCTCTGTGAACCCAGCCACAGGAGACTGGATGTTTGGTGGACCTGCCCCTGGGTGGGCTGTCACAGGCTCTCTCCACAGTATTTGAGACTGGGTCATCAGTATGAGTCAGCCAGTGGGTACTGAATGGTGAACTTGTGGACTGTGGTGGCCAAATCAGAACTATGGCACCCAAAACCATAATGCCAGACTCATCAAGAAATGAGCTCTAAGACTTTTGCCAAGGAAGCTCATCTGCAGAAAGGAGAATATATAACCATGTAGACAGAAACAGATTCCTAAAGGTCTAAAAGACTTGGATATCTATCTGCTTACTTAATATCCCCAAGGTGGCTATCTAACTGGCATCTCAACCTTGATTTGTACTACAGGACTCTGGATATTTATGTACCATGTCTCTTTTTTCCCAAGGTCACCCATCAAATTAATGACACCACCGTTTATCCAGTTGTTCAGGTGCAAACCTAGTAGCATCTCTGATTCCTCTTTTGGCTCATATCACACATCCACCCTATCAGCCAGTTCTTTCAGCTCTTCCCACTGCTATATCAGGAGCTGAAACAAAAAGAAATCTGTACATTTTTGAACCAAATAGAACAAATAATGAAAGCCCTACAATGAAAAATCACAACTATATATGAAGCCCCATGTTGCCCAGTCAGTTCCCTCACCACTGTTAACCTTCATAAACCTGCCCAGTGGGTTGCCATGATAGCCAAATGGCCCTGTGACTGAGCACTGGTTGAAAATAGCTGTTTTTGTTGGACAATGATACAGGGTCATAAAATAGACAACAACCTGTCTCTCTCTTTCTTTTTTTATATTTTATTCATTATGGATATTTGCATTCATTTTGAATCTAATAATTGCAAAGAAAAATATTTATATAGCCCATACTATGTGCCAGACTCTGTTCTAAGCATTCTGTATGTATTGCCTCATTTATTCCTCACAATCACCCTTTAAGATACCATTATTATTTCTATTTTATAGATGAAGACACTGGCGCACAAGCCAGGCAGCTAGAAAGTTGCAGGACTGAGATGCAAACCCAGTTGTTGATTTGCAAACGATCCCCCTTCCATGGAGGGACTGAAGAAAGAGGTAGACCCCTCTAGATTGGTAGTGGTAGGTTTAATAAGCAAGGAAACTTCCATATGAGACTTGTCTTGGGTGACCGAAAGATGAGTAGATCTTTGCACCAGCCCACCAGAATCTAAAAAGTTTACGTGGACACCTGATTCTCCCAAGGCTATGTCCATGAGCAGAACATATATTCCAAGGACAGGGAAGGAGTGACAAGCCCCCGATTTCCAGGTCTAGCTCCTGGGTAACTGGCAGCCATTGTCCATCTTCTCATTTACCTCCTCCAATACCAGGCAGTCTGGCTCCAAAAGCAACAAGACAAAATTAACTGGACTTGCTAAGTGATTGGATGTGGGACAAGAGGAGAAGCCAAGTATGCTCCTAGGAGTCCAGTTTGAGCAATTGGATGGATACTGTGCCATTCACTAATACAGGAAATAAAGGTGGGGGTGGGAGGTACAGATTTATGGAAATTTTATGAACAACTTATGGGTTCAGTTGGGTCGCTATAAATTTGAGGTGCCAGGAACCTCATGATGGAGATATCCAGAAAGTGACTATCTCACTGTGCTTTGAGGTCAGACAAGAGATACATGGTGAAGACAGTGTATGGGAATCATCGCATTTGGCAATTAGAACCATGGGCATGGCTGAGTAACCCAGAACAATCATTAGCCATGGAAAGAATACAGTTAGATGAGAAGTAAAATCCCTAAACAACTCACAATTATCTGTCCTTCTTAGGCATAAAGTTATTTGTACATGTCTCTTAACAGAGTAGATTTTAGTTCAAGAGAAAAATCATTTGGCTGCCATAAAAGAAAAAAGGCCCAAATAACTGACCCACAAGCACCACCACCCCACACACAGAAATAATCACCTGACACTTAGGAAGCCAACCTATTGGTTTAACTAAATAAATCCTCTTTGCCAGGTAAGTTTTAAGACCTTTGTAGCCCTAAGCATCATAGCAAGCATGTCAAAATCCAGCACCATCAAAACACATTTTTTTCCTGTGGAAATTTTTTTTCAAGTTTTTAACATTCTCTTTTAAATTATTTAACTAGTTTGTTTTATTCACTCATGGCTACGATTTGTCCATAATCATTAAGCATACTCGTGAATTATTGTGGCCTGGCCGATGTGGCTCAGTGGAT